AAAAAAAAATACTCGATTTTATAGATAAAAAAATCGATTAACTGTTAAGAGATCGAAAGAGTAAATCACTATAAATTATTTTTAAAAACTTATTTAAAAATACAAAATATAATGACTATTAGTACGTTTTTCATTAAATAAATAATATTATTAATTTAATTAAAATAGCATATAAAATAGGTTTTACTTATTAATATATCGTAAATATTTTTTAGCATATATATCTATACATATTTTAAAGAATTATATATATATATATATATATATATATATATTATTGAGTTTAAAAAAAATGAGGGGGGCCATGGGCCCCCGTGGGCCCAATGAAGCTCTGTCTCTGTTCTTCTCTCCTCCCCCAACCCTCAGTTGAAAATTTTCTCTGTCTTTTTTTTCTTTTTTTTTTTTTGGGTTTGATCGATTTAAGACCAGCGACCACGACTGGGATGAGCGTGGAGTCGGCGGATCGATAGATTGGCAGACCCGCCAGGAGTAAGGCGCCCCTAAGCCCCGACTAACTACCACCAAACCGACGAGGCGCGCTGGCACTCCAACGGCCGAAGGTAGTGGTTTGCCAGCGGAGGTGATTGGATGAGAAGATGCTAAGACGGTGAGGGCGGCGACGGCGGCTCCACTGGTGGCTAGGTGGAGAAACGTCTTTTTTTTTTTTAGCGAAGCATTGTTGAATAAGGTTCTAACGGCGGTGATGGCATTCAACTAGAGAAACCCAACCCCCAATGACATGATTGAATTGTCCCTCCATTTCTGATCAGCCTCGCAATTTCTTGGAGATGACGAAGGCGAGCTCAGGCTCGTTGTGATGTCTACAGTATATATTGTGTTTATATATCATATATTTTTATTATATGTTCCCGACGGAAGTTTTTTACTTCTTTTTTTTTTTAAAACCAGACATGGGCTACCAGATATGTTCCAAACATCTGACTGGCTGTCGTGCGATATTCGCGTGAAAGGCTTTCCGACTGACATTTCTTTTGATGTTTTTTGCAATAATTAACTTGTTATAATCTGTTTATAAACTATATATATATATATATTGTGTATAATGACAAGATTGATTTATCTTTGTATATCTGTTGTGTATTTTATATTTTGTTGATTGTATACAATGAGTATATCTTCTGTATACATTCCCGAAGAGTATAATGTTTTTTAGTATATGTTAAGGTTGCCAATATATTATTAGTATATTTACATGAGTACGATTTCAACTTGTTTTATATACTGTAAATATACAAACAATATACATAATAAATTAAGACAAATTGTAGAAAAATATAAAAATAAAAAAATAAAAAAAAAACGTTGAAAGAAATATACATGGTTGAACACGTTCCTAATTAGTATGTTATGCACACTTACCTTCTTTCTTTCAGTGCAATCCTATAGATGCGTGATTGTAAGAAGGTGGCTTACGTGGTCTATTTGTAATCCCGCAATTTAAGGAGACTTTATCTATTTTTTTGGATAATTGATATCATGAATATTCACAAATAAATTCCATGCATTTGGTAAATTTGCAATAAAAATGCAACCATTAGTATTGTTGTAATTATTCTTAAATCGCTGTTTATATATAAAATTCTCCCAAACAAAAAATGCCAACAAAATTTTATAACTTTATTTCCTTATTTCATAATTTTTTTTATCTAATGATTAATATTTGCCAAATTGATTTATATGAAATTACCTACCACTGGCGGCACTTACCTATTTGAGAGGAAGGATGCATATACCAAATGAAGCTTGTGGATGGGGCAACAAGGATGTTACCATATATGAAGATGATAGATTGCGGAAATTAGGATGATTGAAGCTCAAAAAAGGAAGCGGCCAAAATAAGAAACTTATTTTACGGAGTAACCTATAAGAAGATTTTTTTTTTTCGAAACGATAGATATTATTATAAATCAAAAGTGCACAAATGTGCACAAGCAGCCAACGTCTAAAAAGTGGGAGAACATGTCAGAATACAAAAAGACTTACATAATACATTTGTGAGTAGAGAAGTCACTGAATTAAATTTGTTTTTGTTTGGGTGGACTGTGCAAGAGATTGTGAGTAACTGACGAGAGAGGAAAATATTTTATTATACGTTTATTAAATTGTCAAATTAGAGATTGTGTTCTCTGATTCGAATGTGATTCTATTCTATACAAACATTCATAGTGTTTGGGATGAACATATGTATACAGTACGAAGGAGTCATAGTGTAAAAATCCACGAGGAGTGCTTCGGAAAAGTAATTGAGTAAAGCGATTACAACGTAAGTTAGGAAGCGAGAGTCTTATATGTAATTCACAGTTGTAATGAGCCAAACACTTGGTGCAATGAAAGAGTTCCGAATGGAGAGTGTGATGCTCTCTTGAAGGTTCAATTTTAGTTTTAAATTGCTTCAGCATTACTGAACTTTCATTGTTACTAGTTAAGCGGAATTTAGTAACTCCTAAATAATTTTACAAGTACTGTCAGAAACTGAAAGTCGAGCTTTTATAGTATACTCTAACAACATTTACCAATTTCTTCATAGAGAGTGATGTAGCTACGAGAGCGAGAGCACTTTCACACTTGGATTCATTTAACCCCACCCATGACATTTATTTTATGCTTCTGAGTTCTTTCTCACGTTGTACACACTTTAGACAAGTGGACTTTCTCATTCCTTATCTGATCATGTGCTTCATGTGGACAAAAAAGAATAGTGTGGAGCATAATGATATTACTTTTTTACTCTCGCATATCATTTTGCAGGTAGAGCACCCTCCTCACAACCTCAGGCTGACTTACACTTTGAGACTGGACAGGCTGTAAGCCACCATATAAACTCATGTGGTTCACCTGGTCTCCTCTCTAGTGTCCCCACTCTCGAGCTGTTGTTTCGTTGAGACCCGACTCCCTCTGGGTCAAGTCGAACATTGGTGGTTCATTCAAACGCTACACTAGAGATGCCTGAGGAGGAGGTATGATTCGGGAAAACAACAGATACCTCATCACCGCCTTCCTCACACCCCCTCAGGCCACCTCGACTTACGACGCTTAGGATCAGACACTGTATATCGATCTTCAGATAGCTGCACGCAACTCTACACATATTTGGATTTAGTTTGACGTTGTTGTCGTTGCACGCTCCTGACTTTGGGACATTAGAGATCGTGGAAAATCAAGCATCGACTCATGCATATCAAATCTACACTTGGTTGATTTAGCACATGATCACGCACAACTTCTATAAGAGGAACCAACCTGCTGATTTTCTCGTAGGACTTGGCGCCACTATCCCTGGGAGGCACACCTTCTAGGCTAACACCATCCCACTCCAGTCACTGAACATTGTACGGGTAGATCAACTTGCTTACCCATCATTCATATTTCATTTGTGGCGCAAATCGTATTCTTGGGCACTTGTTAGCCACATTATTCCGCGTTTTTATTTTCAATCTTTGTACCCTTTAAATTAATTATGTTTTCATCTCAATTGAGAATTTGATATATGCACAGGTGGGGATCTGGCCTAACCCCAATCGTTATACATTTTATTTTTATTATTTTAAGAAAGTATTTTACCCATAATATAAAAAAAAAA